CTGTCTTTTCTCTTGTGGTGACTCTAACATTGATTTGGTCGGGCAACAGCCCTTTCGAGGCTGCAGTCCTGCTAGGGATTTGAGTGGTTTTGTGGTTTCTGGTGCTAACCATCTCTGTGGTCCATCCTGCTCCTTCTACCCATCTGCTGCTACCTCCATTCTTTTCAGTTGTTTTACTTTTCTCTCCTCTCCTCTTCTTTTCTCCTCTTCTCTTCTCTCTTTTTAAAATCATGTCAACTTATGTCATTATTACTGGAGGCCCTGAATATCTAGATCCATCGCAGATTCTGTAACATAGTGCATATGCAGAGAAATAGAATCAATGGGTGGCCATTATAAGGTGATTGATTTGGATTGGATATTATACTTTGTAACAATTAGAGAAATCTGACAGTGGACAAGCTGCCTATAAAGTAGTTAAGTCAGGTGGGATGATTAAATCGCAGCCAAAGTTAGTGGGAATCTGGACTTTGAATGCAGGCTTGATTCAGTGATTTCAGTGATTTCTAAGTTTTTCAAATTACTTTAAGATGATTTGTCTGTTGAGGAAACATGTTTAGGTACCATTTCCATTTCAAATTGAGGACAATGGTTTCGGTTTTTCAGATCCTCTAAGGTTTCTGAGTTAGCAGAGTTGGAAGTTCTGGAAGCTGAAGCTGGTACATATCCAAGCTGTTGGCTGCTGCCATCCCTGTTTCTACTGTTTGTTGACTGTTGGCTGGGAGGGGAGCTCAGGTGGGGCAAGGGTTCTCATTTCTCTTTCTCTTCAGAACCTTTTATCAAGCGCTTTCTCCTTGTGAGACTTCAGAGATACTAAAGGAAAACTTTCTTTTTTTTTTTTTTAAGATTTTATTTATTTATTTAATTGACAGAGAGAAAGGGAACACAAGCAGGGGGAGTGGGAGAGGGAGAAGCAGGCTTCCCGCCAAGCAGGAAGCCCGATGTGGGGCTCGATCCCAGGACCCCGGGATCATGACCTGAGCCAAAGGCAGTTGCCCAACCAACTGAGTCACCCAGGCGGCCCTAAAGGAAACTTTCTTACCAAAAGTTGGGGCTCTTGACCTAAATGTTGAGTCTTAATTATTCATTAGGCTACCCTTCTATTTACAAATTGTTTTGTCTGCTATATTCAACAGAATTGCTCTTAAGATAATGAACTAATTTTGGATGGCAAAGACCCAGAGACCACCCTTTTAATACTCACATGGCCTCTGACCCTGTAACTTGATTGCTCAGGGCTGGTTGGAGCCTGAAATTATATTTATATTTGCAAATTTAAAGATGAATGTGTATGAGGATGGAAGGCATGTTTGAAAATCATTCGGGAGAAACCTAATATTGTTCTATAGTATATGGATTCGTGATTTTCTTTGTTTATACCTTGTTCTGAGACCCTGCTCTTGCTCCTTTTCCTTTTTCCAATAGAAAAGACATTTCATCTCCTAGTAAAGAAAATATATTCGAATCCGTCATTTCAGATTTCAAGCAGTGGCAAAAGGTAAGACGTTCTAATAAACCGTTTGGCAATCAAAATGCTGTTTGTAAGCTTGCCACTCGTCACCTACAACTGAGTCACACCTCATCCTTCCAGAATGCCATACTGCGTTTTATGAAAGACAAAGAAAACAGCAAGATTCCAGGGCTTTTAAAAACACACTTAAATATTTTATTTTCAGTTCTATTTTAGATTTTTGAGGCCAATAAAGTTAGGCTGCCAGAAAAAAACTGGGAAAAGATACTTGGGTGGCAGTGAGGGTAGTTCTGATTTTCTCCTCTAATCGTCAGATATAAGTGACATTTGTGCCTCTCCTGTCCCTGCCTTCTGTCTTAAGGACAACTTGGACTTTTAAAATTCATAACATCTCTTTAAAAACTTGTGGTACAGTATATACATAACATCACATTTACGGTCTTAGTCATTTTTCAGTGTACAGGTCAGGGGCATTAAGTACATTTACACTGTCGTGCCCCCACCACCACCATCCATGTCCAGAATTTTTTCATCTTCTTAAACTGAAACTCTACCCATGAAACAAGAACCCCCTCTATCTGCTCCTCCCCCAGCCCCCGGCAACCACCATTCTACTTCCTGTATCTCTAAATTTGACTATGCTAGACATCATATGTCTGGAATCACAGTATTTGTCCCTTTGTGATGGGCTTATTTCCTTCAGCATAATGTCCTTAAGGCTCATCTGTTTCGTTGCCTGTGTCAGGATTTCCTTCCTTTCAAAGGCTGAAGAATATATCACTGTAGGTGTGTACTATACTTCGTTTATTAATAACATCTTCTTAAAAGAGTTTGAGCTTTGAAAATAGCTTTCATTAATCAAATTACTATAGTGTCTTAGCAGTCTGACAAAGGAAGATATGTAAGATATTGAAATACCTCCAGGGGCGCCTGGGTGGCTCAGTCGTTAAGTGTCTGCCTTCAGCTCAGGTCATGATCCCAGGGTCCTGGGATCACTGCTCAGCGGGAAGCCTGCTTCTCCCTCTCCCACTCCCCCTGCTTATATTCCCTCTCTCGCTGTGTCTCTCTCTTTCAAATAAATAAATAAATAAATAAAATCTTTAAAAAAAAAAAAGAAATACCTCCAAAGCGAGTATCAGACTCACGGCCTGGTGAAGTCTCCTCCAGATCCCAAGAAGCTGTTTTCTTGTCTTTTGGAATGATGGGAGCAGAATATTCTCAGAATTGATGTTTGTTGTCGTGTTTATATATAGCAGGTTTAGTGACTCTACTGTTTATCTGGTAATTTTGACATGGCATAGGTAAGATTGAAAAAAAATCATGCTGCTTTATTTCGTAGGGATAATAATAATTCACATTCATTAAGCTCTTACGCTGTCAGGCTGAAGGTGCTTTCCACACAGTATGGTACTTACTCTTCACCGCAACCGCCACCTGCAGATTTTATGATCCCTGTCTCACAGATGCGAAAGGGAAGCTTAGAAATGTTAAGTCACTTGCCTAAGTTGTCTATAAATGGTAAGTGGTGGAGTCAGAATGAGTCCAGGTCTCTCCACCCCCAAAATCCTTGCCCTTAATTGCTCTGCTACATTGCTTCCCTGTACTGATTGCTCTTTTTGAAGCATGGGTGATTTGTTTGCATTATCTGAGTCACAAATACATAAATTGCACTTTGTTATAGGACTTGGACTCTGGGCTAGACAAATAAAACACAACCTATACATTCTAGCAACTTTCCCAGTCCAGTGGGGATCATGTAAACAGATATGTGATACCCTCACCAAAGCGGGTAGTAATTAAACATGCTCAGCTCTCTGGTCCTTATTTGCTTGTCATTCATTTTTACCCATATAGGATTTAATATAATTAATTTCATCTGGTAAAATATGGGTTATCTTACAGGGTATTATAATTAATTTAAATTCACTTTAATTTTTTTAAAGATTTTATTTATTTATTTGATAGAGAGCACAAGCAGGGGGAGTGGCAGGCAGAGGGAGTGGGAGAAGCGGGCTCCCCCAGGACCCTGGGATCATGGCCTGAGCCGAAGGCAGACACTTAACCGACTGAGCCACCCAGGTGCCCCCACTTTAATTTTGAAAATAAAATTATGTCACATGAAAAAAATTGTATGAACAAATAATAATAGGGCATATAACTCTAAAATAATTGGCAGTCATTGGGATATAAGGATCTGGGTAGACTTTGATGAAATCATTAGTGAATAATCTAATTTCCTCACCCCCTTTCATTCTCTAGATGTTGAATGAAGATAAAGACAAGTATACTGGGGATTTTCTAGTGTCAAAATATGATTCTCTGAAGATTATTAAACATTTACAAGAAAACTGGACAGATGTTGGGTTTGGGATATTGAATCGCCATAAAAGTATGGAGGGGGAGATGCCACCAGAGCAAGAGCACATGAAGGAAATTGTGAAAACCATAGGAAGACTCTACAAAGAATTTGAGATAAGAATAAGTGGGGATAATGGTAAGAAAAAAAACAATGATATGTTGCTTGACATTATAAAGCATTTTAATAATGACTATTATTTGTAATACAATTAATATTTAAAATCTAAGTAATGTTACATATGGTTTTAAAAATCAAGCAAAATAAAGCATTGAGCACTGCTTTTTTTTTCTAAAAAAAGAGAGAGAGAGCACAAGCAGGGGGAGTGGCAGGCAGAGGAAGAAGCAGGCTCCCCGCTGAGCAAGGAGCCCCATGTGGGGCTCAATCCCAGGACCTTAGGATCATGACCTGAGCTGAAGGCAGCCGCTTAACCAGCTGAACCACCCAGGTGTCCCTGAGCACTGCTTTTTTGAGATATAATTCATAGGCACTATAATTCCACGTTTAAAGTATATAATTTGATGATTTTTAGTACATTCACAGATTTGTGCCACCATTACCACAGTCAATTTTAGAATATTTTCATCAAAATGAACCTCAGAAGAAACACTGTACCCATTAGCTATAGCCCTTTTGTCCTCCCATTCCGGACTTTCTGTTTCTGTAGATTTCTCTAGTCTGGACTTTCATATGAATGGAATCATGTAATATATGACGTTTTATGACTGACTTCTTTCACTTAGCATAACGTTTTAAAGGTTCACCTATGTTTTAGCATTTGTCAGTGCTCTATTAATCTTTATGACTGAATAATATTCCATTGTATGTGTATATTGCATTTTGTTTATCATTTCATCCATTGCTGGACATTTGTGTTGCTTCCACTTTTTTTTTTATTTGAGAGAGAGAGAGAGAGAGAGCGCGTGCACTCGCATAAGCATAGGGAGGGGCAGAGGAGAGGGAGAAGCAGAGCAGGGAGCGTGACTTAGGGCTCAATCCCAGGACCTTGGGGTCATGACTTGCGCTGAAGGCAGATGCTTTTTTTTTTTTTTTAAGATTTTATTTATTTATTTGTGAGTGAGAGAATGAGAGAGAGAGACAGAAAGAGAGCATGAGAGGGGGAAGGGTTAGAGGGAGAAGCCGACTTTCCGCTGAGCAGGGAGCCCGATGTGGGACTTGATCCCGGGACTCCAGGATCATGACCCAAGCCAGAGGCAGACGCTTAACGACTGAGCCACCCGGGCACCCCAGGCCAGATCATTTTATTTTTATTTTTTAAAAGATATTTATTTATTTGACAGAGAGAGAGAGACACACAGCAAGAGAGGGAACACAAGCAGGGGGGAATGGGAGAGGGAGAAGCAGGCTTCCCGCAGAGCAGGGAGCCCGATGCGGGGCTCAATCCCAGGACCCTGGGATCATGAACTGAGCCAAAGGCAGACACTTAACGACTGAGCCACCCAGGTGCCCCAAGGCTGGATCATTTTAAATACCCACCTCCAGTGTATGAGGGCTCTGATTTTTCCACATCCTTGCCATCACTTGTTATCTGACTTTTGATTTTGATTCATGTTTTTCTGATGACTACTGATGTTGAGCATCTTTTTAAGGCTTACTAGCCATTTGTCTGTCTTCTTTGGAGAAATGTCTATTCAGATCCTTTGTCCATGTTTTAATTGGGGTTTTTGTCTTTCTGCTATTGAGTTGTTAGAGTTCTTTATATACTCTAGATACAAGTGTTTTTTCAGATATATGGACTGTAAATATTTTCTCTTAATCTGTGGGCTGTTTTTTCATTTTTTTGATGGTGTCCTTTGCAGTGCAAAATTTTAAATTTTGATGAAGTCCAATTTATCTAGTTTTTCTTTTTTTTTGTTTGTGCTTTCAGTGCCATGTCTTTGAATCCTTTGCCAAATTTAAAGTCATGAAGTTTACCCTTATGTGTTCATCTAAGAGTTTTGTAGTTTTTGCTCTTATATTATGGTATTTGACCATTTTGAGTTAATTTTTGTATATAGTGTAAGGTAAAGTCTTCTTTTGCATGTGGGTATCCAGTTATCCCACTACCATTTGTTAAAAAGACCATATTTTTCACATTTAGTGGTCTTTGACACTTTTGTCAAAAATTAGTTGACCATAGATGTATGGGTTTATTTCTAGATTTTGAATTCTATTCCATTGATCTGGATGTCTGTCCTTGTGCCAATACCAACTGTCTTGATTACTGTTGCTTTGTAGTAGATTACTGCCTGTTTTCTTCTAGGAGTTTTATGGTTTCAGGTCTTACATTTATTCTTTAATCCATTTTGTATTTATTTTTGTGCATGGTATAAGACAGTCCAATTTCATTCTTTTGCATGCAGCTGTCCAGTTTTCCCAGCACCATTTATCAAAGAGACTGTCTTTTCCCCATCATATATACTTGCCTCCTTTGTCATAGATTAATTGACCATATAAGCGTGGGTGTACTTCTTGGTTTTCTGTTTGCTCACAGTTAATTGTAAAGTCCATGCCTGATAATTTGGAACTATCTGGTTCTCCTATCGGTCTTTATTTTTATTGTCTGTATTTTGTCTTGACTCATAAGAGTCAATTCTTTTCATATTCTTGACTGTTTCTTGATGTTGGACATTGTGTGTGAGAAACTCTAGAGATAATTTGAGACTCTGGATGATACTATATTTCATGAGAATGATGACTTTACTCACTGCAACATGTGTTACTTAAGAATCCTTCCCATCTAGGTTGACTGGCTGGCTCAGTCAGTAGAGCATGTGACTCTTGATCTCTGGATCATGAGTTCAAGCCCATGTTGGGCATGGAGCCTACTTAAAATTAAAAAAAAAAAAAAAAAGAATCCTTCCCAGTAAAGTGTTTAGGCACTCCTGGTCCATTGACTGGCACTGTTGTTCAATATAAAACTACTTCCATTGGGAAAACACAATCTTAATTATCTATAGCCTCAGTAATGTAGTTAGAGATAAGATGCTATACTTCCCCATGAGAATATATAGTGCGCAGAGAAAAAAATGAAGTAGTAAATGGTTTAAAATAAATGAGTAAGTCAAAATGATGAATGATAGTGAAATTAACAGATCAGTTTGAATACTCATAAGAGATCAAAGTTTACTGATGAAGGCAGTAAAATATTTTTATCAAGGACAAGAAAAAGTTTGCTTTTTAACTATTCCTCTTTATAAATCTCTAAGGTGGGAGCATTTCTTTTCTTTTTTTTTAAAGGTTTTATTTATTTATTTATTTATTTATTTATTTGAGAGAGAGAGAGAGAGAGAGAGAGAGAGGGAAAACACAGAGGGAGAGTGAAAGGGAGAGGGGAGAAGCAGGCTCCCCGCTGAGCAGAGAGCCTAATGTGGGACTGTATCCCAGGACCCTGGGATCATGACCTGAGCTGAAGGCAGATGCTTAACCGACTGGGCCACCCAGGCACCCTTAAGATGGGAGCATTGCATCTCTTATTTTGCAAATGAGATAAGACAAAGATATAGAGGGGGTAATTTGCCAATATTTTCACAGTGAATCGGTCAAAGATTAGGATCCAGACTCAATCCTTGTTCAGACCAAAACTATAAGCTTCATGAAAACCTGAACAATGGCCTAAAAAAATGACTCAAATACTAGACTATTCTCATTTCTGTTATCAACTATCCTATAGTCACAAAGAAGCTGTTTATCATCATTGTCTTCTTAACAGAATGACTAAGTGAATTAATGCCTATTATAGAAAACTGTAATTTGTAGTTTCTGAGTTTAATGCATTTGATTCTCAACTGAGAAGAAAAGAAACTTAAGGATATAAACTGTCTTCAAAGAAATAAATAGTCCAGGGCGCCTGGGTGGCTCAGTCGTTAAGCGTCTGCCTTCGGCTCAGGTCATGATCCCAGGGTCCTGGGATCGAGTCCCACATTGGGCTCCCCGCTCCGCGGGAAGCCTGCTTCTCCCTCTCCCACTCCCCCTGCTTGTGTTCCTGCTCTCACTATCTCTCTCTGTCAAATAAATAAAATCTTAAAAAAAAAAAAAAAGAAATAGTCCATCAGTCAGAACAGCACTGACTGCCCCGTGTTTATTCACTAAACATTTGTTTAAGAACTATTCTTTGTAAGAGTCTCTGCTAGGGCCTAAACTGTAGGATAATAAAAAGATGAAAAGAAGATATGCCCCTATCCTGTAGTATTTTTGTAATTTATTATTGCAATGGTAGACTTACGAATACTTTTAAAAGCTAGTACTTTTCTCACTTTTCTAGGTATCTCTAAGATTATTCCAAGTTTGGTTAGTTCTCTAGAATTCTGTTCTTTCAAGTTGGCAAATGTCCTGGAGTTTCCTGAAATGCTTCATGAAGAATGGGAAGGAGTTAATGAGAAAGTTAATGAAATGAAATCTCAGTTGGATGCATCAATAAACATTATTGGTACCGTTCCTCAGTATATGGATGTGGATTCTGGCTCGTAAGTTCCCACAGCTTTCTGCTGGATGGAAGGGAATCCCCACTTCTCAGCTGCATTTTCCTAGTACCTAGCCTCAGCAACAGGCAACTGGGGTCACATAAGAAGCCTTGGAATTCCTGTGCCTCCCAGGAAGAAAGCCCTCTGACTGGGAGCTGGAGGGTGAGGGAGGGAGTTCTGTGTTCTTGTCTGCAGCAGTCTAGAGTGGAGTTTCTGCCTCACTGAGCTGACAGCGGAAAGAGGGGGGATAGTCTTGTTTTTAAATACCATGGGCTCTTGCCTTTCTTACTGAATTTTCATAAATTGTCTTGAAGACACGTTTTTTTCAGTTGCGCTTTGTCCTTAGGACGTTTCTAGAGGCTTTCAGTGTTTTGGTTTTGTTTTGTTTTTAAATATTCTCACCAGCTTCACTGGGAGGGTGGATCAACTTTGCTCCTCACACTCTCGTGTTGGAAATTGATCTCTTGAGAATTTTAAAATTCATTCTTCTCACTTCGTGTTCTCACTGCCTAGAAGTGAATGTAAAGGGTATGAATGTGAGTTTTTACAATAGAGAGCTAGCACTGAAGGTAAGATCTACGTTGTTCAAAGTGCATCCGGCCAGTTGCTACTGGCCCAGGGTTAGGAAGGCTGTGATAGTAAGCCATCCTACCAGGTAATTCAGGGCTTTGATTTCCCTTTCCCTGAATTCTCAAATAGTTGTCAACACCTACATTTCCTAGGCCCCGCCAAATAAAATCCTTTCTTTTAGCTGATAGACTTTTACACTCTAAGTATATCTTATATTTATTTTACTTGATTTTTTTCCTTCAGGGTACTCCAAGCACAAATATTTAACATGATTCAACAATGGCTTTTGAAGATAAGCAATGAGATTAACAATGGTAACATTGAACTTCAACGCCATGTATGTACTTGTAGGGGTTTGTGAAATTGTATTTTGCCTTGGCTGGGAGTTTTCTTCAAGGAAAGACTAGGTCATGCCCATCCAGCTGAAGCAGGAGGTTAGGAGGGCAAAATGGGAACTTTTGTGATATAATTACTCATGACTTGCAGGGATTTTTTTTTTAAAGATTTTATTTATTTATTTGACAATGAGAGAGAGCACAAGCAGGGAGAGTGGCAGGCGGAGGGAGAGGGAGAAGCAGCCTCCCCGCTGAGCAGGGAGCCCGATGTGGGACTCGATCCCAGGACCCCGGGATCATGACCTGAGCTGAGGGCAGTTGTTTAACCAACTGAGCCACCCAGGCGTCCTGCAGGGATTTTTTAAATGTAGTATGTTCCTGCATTTGGAATGAAGTTTCAGAGATGATCAGAAGTTTCGAGTTCTAATTATCATCTTCGCTCTTTACTCAGTATACTGATTTTTTTCCCCCTTAATGGTATTACTCTGGAATGTGAACATTTTAAGGATTTATGTTGGTGCTCCTGCCTGGCTGAAGGATGACAGAAACATGATAATAGGAAGAAAGACAAGATGCCACAATATTATTAGTCTATAATTTTTAGAACAAATAGAATTGTTCCTCAATTCTGAAGAACTGAACCTGTGAATTTTTTTTTTAAGATTTATTTATTTATTTTAGAGAGAGAGCACACACATGAGCAGGGGGAGGGGCAGAGGGAGAGGGAGAGAGAATCTCAAGCAGACTCCCCGCTGAGCACAGAACCAGATGTGGGGTTGGATCTCATAGCCCTGAGATCATGCCCTGAGCCAAAATCAAGAGCCGGACCAACTGAGCCACCCAGGCGCCCAACCTGTGGACTTCTTAACCAGCACAACATGAAATAATAATTTCCAAAGGCATAGTTTACTACATTTACTCCTACTACCTAGTCTTAATTATAATCTAGATTTACACAGGAATCTCGTATTATAATTAAACTTAGTATGCAAATATTTGATCTTATAAAATTGGTAAAATGAACTTAATTCACTAAATATTGCTTAAATTAGGAATTTGAGGAGTGCCTGGGTGGCTCAGTTGGTTAAGCGGCTGCCTTCAGCTCAGGTCATGATCCCAGGGTCCTGGGATGGACCCCTGTGACTGGCTCCCTGCTTGGTGGGGAGTCCGCTTCTCCCTCTGCCTCCTACCCCCACTCATGCTCTCTCTCTCTCTCTTTCAAATAAATAAATAAAATCTTTTTTTAAAAAAAGGAATTTGAAAGGCAAAGACTGTGATGTTATATGGGAATTCTATTTACGAAGCATTACATTGTAGCACAGTCTATGAACATGTTGTAAACATAGACACCAAGAGTTGAGGAGCAAATATATTAAGACTGGAAGAATGAATCCAGGGGATCCCCAGACTTAAGAGAAATTTCTATAACTTGGAAGACAACCACAATTAAGAAAATGGGTAGCATAGTATTGTCACATGATGAGACTCAATAAATACTTATTGAATGAAGTAAGGAAGAACATTCCAGCACTGTTGTCTTATGGTATTTTTACATTAACCCCTTCTTTGGTAAATACTCAGTTTACTGTTGGGTATTTATCTCCATGGAATCATTTACTCAATTTTTTTATATTATGGAATTCAATCTTTATAACACAAGGTTATTTAGAAAGTAGCCATAATATACCTCTATTTTAACACTACATTATGATATTATAATTGAAGTGTGTAGGAAACTTACAAGATTATAAATTCCTTGAGGAACTGTGTATATCCATATTAACCGCTATAACTATTTAAAAATGAAAAAGTTTGCCTTTTTTCCACCCACCATTCATTTTCCTTTCTGACTCATTTTCTTACCTTCAGTTTTGTTTTGTTTTTTTTTTCTTTTTACATCGTAAGTCCATCTAGTCTGTGCTGCTTGACAAGCTAAAACACTGATCTTCAAACCCTTTCACCATGTGTCTCTATTAGCAAAAAGATCTTTGTCATTCCTAACTTACATGTATAAAACACATATAAACAGTGAAACAGGATGAGGTAAACATTTTTTTCCTTGAATAGCTTTTTTTTAATTAATTTTACTTTATTATGTTATGTTAGTCACCATACATTACATCATTAGTTTTTGATGCAGTGTTCCATGATTCATTGTTTGTGCATAACACCCAGTGCTCCACGCAGAACGTGCCCTCCTTAATACCCATCACCAGGCTAACCCATCCCCCCACCCCTCTCCCCTTTAGAACCCTCAGTTTGTTTCTCAGAGTCTATAATCTCTCATGGTTCGTCTCCCCCTCTAATTCCCCCCCCTCATTTTTCCCTTGCTACTATCTTTTTGTTTTTTAACATATAATGTATTATTTGTTTCAGAGGTACAGGTCTGTTATTCATCAGTTTTACACAATTTACAGCGCTCACCATAGCGCATACCCTCCCCAATGTCCATCACCCAGCACTCCCCCATCCCTCCCACCCCCCACCACTCCAGCAACCCTGTTTGTTTCCTGAGATTAATTTTATGGTTTGTCTCCCTCTCTGGTTTCATCTTGTTTCATTTTTCCCTCTCTTCCCCTATGATCCTTTGTCTTGTTTTTTAAATTCCTCATATCAGTGAGATCATATGATACTTGTCTTTCTCTGATTGACTTATTTTGCTTAGCATAACACCCTCTAGTTTGATCCACGTCGTTGCAAATGGTAAGATTTCGTTTTTCTTGATGGCTGCATAATATTCCAGTGTATATGTATATGCCACATCTTCTTTATCCATTCATATGTTGATGGACATCTGGGCTCTTTCCATAGTTTGGCTATTGTGGACATTGCTGCTATAAACATAGGGGTGCACGTACCCCTTCGGGTCCCTACATCTGTATCTTTGTGGTAAATACCCAGTAGTGCAATTGCTGGATCGTATGGTAGCTCTATTTCCAACTGTTTGAGGAACCTCCATACTGTTTTCCAGAGGGGTTGCACCAGCTTGCCTTCCCACCAACAGTGTAGGAGGGTTCCCCTTTCTCCGCATCCCCGCCAACATCTGTCATTTCCTGACTTGTTAATTTTAGCCATTCTGACTGGTGTGAGGTGGTATCTCGTTGAGGTTTTGATTTGGACTTTTCTGATGCCGAGCGACGTTGAGCATTTTTCATGTGTCTGTTGGCCGTTTGGATGTCTTCTTTGCAGAAATGTCTGTTCATGTCTTCTGCCCATTTCTTGATTGGATTATTTGTTCTTTGGGTGTTGAGTTTGATAAGTTCTTTATAGATTTTAGTTACTAGCCCTTTATCTGATAAAACATTTGCAAATATCTTCTCCCATTCTGTCAGTTGTCTTTTGATTTTGTTGACTGTTTCCTTTGCTGTGCAAAAGCTTTTTATCTTGATGAAGTCCCAATAGTTGATTTTTGCCCTTGCTTCCCTTGCCTTTGGCGATGTTTCTAGGAAGAAGCTGTGGCTGAGGTCGAAGAGGTTGCTGCCTGTGTTCTCCTCAAGGATTTTGATGGATTCCTGTGTCACATTTAGGTCTTTCATCCATTTTGAGTCTATTTTTGTATTGAAGTAAACAACATTTAAGATAATTTTTAGTAATAGTTAAAAAACTGATGTGAATGAACAGGCTTTATAATTTTTTATAATCACAAGTTAATACTTAATGATAAAGTCATTTGAAGGTCAGCTTCAGTACTTGCTTTTAAGGACTGTCATTCTGAAATGATAGCTCGCAAAGAAACATGAATCGAAATTGAAGAAGTGCTTTATTGACTGTATTTGTTAAATAATAAGACTCATCCTTTAATTCCATCAGTGTTATGCAAAGGTTTCTATTAAATTGGCTAGTAAAATTTTCCCTCTACTCTAATGTCAGTCAGTTGTTCTTGCTGACATTAGACAATGGAGCACTTCTACATTTTAACAAAAGATTCTCAGCCGGCTGAAACACTTTAATTGTAAGATTTTAGAACAATTAGAAACATTTCCAGATTTTCAAGTACATAAAATTGAAAGTTTTAGGGGCGCCTGGCTCAACTGGTTAAGCATCTGCCTTCGGCTCAGGTCATGATCCCAGGGTCCTGGGATAGAGCCCTGCATTGGGCTCCCTGCTCAGCGGGAAGCCTGCTTCTCCCTCTCCCACACCCCCTGCTTGTGTTCCCTCTCTTGCTGTGTCTCTCTCTGTCAAATAAATAAATAAAATCTTAAAAAAAAATAAATTTAAAAGTTTTAAAAAGGGAGCTATGTGTCATCAGCAGCAAAATCATACCAAGGTGGAAATTCTTCTTATCCATTTTCAAAATGACCTGCCCATAACATAAATTTCTCTTACTCATTATTAAAGTCACTTATATTTTGAAGGGACAAATTATTTATGATTAAAAAAATCAGAAGGTAGCTAAGTAGCTACTTGTCATCCCTGACAAGATTAGTGAATTTGCAATAAGTCTTTTCATAAAAGAAAATCACTTAATTCATTAAAAATTATCTTATGAATTTTGTATCAGGATCACAGTAAACCTCTGGTTTATTATAAAAGTTATCATACGTACTCTCTAATTACAAAGAATGCTTTCACATCTTTGTGAAAGTAAAAGATATACTTTTGTGTTTAATTTGATTCTAATTTTAAATTCACATGAATTATTGCATGTCCTAGATTCTACCATTTAATCTCTTCAATATAACTGAAATGAAGATAACATGTTTCTGTTTGTTTATTAGGGACAGTTCAAGGATTGATTAATATTTTATGTAAGCACAAATTAGTTCTTTCAATGACAGTATAATCCAGGGCATTGGTATAGAAAAGAACAGTTAGGAATTTATTTACTTTGCGAAGCAGCAGGGGCATAGCTTATGAATGTGGGGGGTACAAATCTTTTGATTTGTGAAATGGGGTAGCAGTCTTTTTAAACCATTTCTCGGAAGAGTTGCCCTGTTCCTGATGTGTTAATTAAGGTGTAAAAATACACTCATGAACATTGCTTTAGGTCATTAACAACCTTTCCTTCTGAGGTGGGGGGCTTGGGTTTTACTACCAGATGGGCTACCAAGTTTGATTTTTATTTGTCCCTCTAACAAACATCTATTAAGCACTTAATTCTCTGCCAAGTACTGTGTGTGTTTTTGAGGAATAAAATGATGACCTGTGTCTTAAAGTGATGCACAGGCTAATTGAGGTCACAGGTGTGCAAACCGTTATAATAGAGGTGTACAAAGTACCATAGAAACGTGGGAAAGGAGCAAATTAAAGCCAGTCAAAGTTAAAAAAACTTCTCAGAGTAGGTCATGTTTAAGCCTAGAGAAGAGGACTGAGGAACTCACCAACAGAGAAAGGGGATAGAGCATTTGAAGGGTATGGTGTGCTTAGATGTTTGCATTTCATAAAGTTTTCTGCATTTGATTTTTCGGTCCCAGCCTCCACAAATAGCATAATGCAGAGGTTCCCAAACATGACCGGTTCACACTGCCCTTTGTGCCTCGGTATTTTCATACTCCTAAACTAAAAGAAATACCTCAGAGTTCAGTTTATTAAGTAGCTAGGTTCAAACAACTTACTAAATATTTCTGTGCTAATAACTTAGTAACTGTTTGGAAAAGTAATACATGTTAAAACACTTAAACAGGGAGGCCTTTAGACTGGAGTGGCTCTTGTGCCTGTGGTAACCTCTATAAACAAACCAAAATCAGAGTCCACGCACTTGAATCTAAGAAAACTCAAGAACTAATCATAGTCAACTAGATTTTCTTTGATTATGGAAAAATGAAACTCAAGAACAACTATCACAACAGCCAAATAACTAAATTTTCCCAAATAAGGCAAACATTTGAGTTATAGCCAATTAAATAATTTCTTTGCTCTGCTTAGCATCTTCTCTATTAAAATCTTTTTCCTGGCCCCTGCCAGCAGAATGCCCCTAACCATTTTTTGGTTTTGATGCTGCCTGATTCTAATCGCTTGCTCAAATAAGCTTTGTAAAATTTAATGTCTTTTTTTAAAATTTATTTTTTTAAATTTATTTTGTCAGAGACAGAACGAGTGAGAGCGAGTGAGCACAAGCAGGAGGAGCGGCAGGCAGAGGGAGAAGCAGGCTCACCCCCATGCAAGGAGCCTGATGCGGGGCTCGATCCCAGGACCCTGGGATCATGACCTGAGCCGAAGGCAGATGCTTAACCAACTGAGCCACTCAGGCATCCCTAAAATTTAATGTCTTAATTTAACGTATTAGATATACATACATTGAAAAAAAAGAACCTTTTACTTTATTCTCCTCTGATCAGAATTACTTACCAATGGAACGTATGTACTTGGACATTGTACAACTTCTCTTACCTTGGAACCAGGTTGGACAGTGCCACCCTGTTGTACCTTGATTTTCCCAAAGTACTTGTTGTTTTTTTTTTAACCACACAACCATCAATAAAACCAGCTTTGCAAAGATAAGATGTCATCAGAAGTGATACAGTGCATCTAAGGTTGGAACTGTGAACTATGTCAAGTTCGTGCTGTGTTGATTGATGTCACACATCACTGTTACTTCCCTCAAGAATTTAATCCAATGGCATCCTTGAGAGTTTGCTGCAGAGCCCTTCAATGCCTTGGTACACAATCGGGGAACTGCAGCTTTCATGGGTTAATATCCTTGACCAAGCTAAAGAGGAGGAGGAGGGTAGTTTAATGTAGTATAGTGAACAAAAGAACAAAATCAGGGTAGGGATGATTTGATGTCATTAAGAATGAGAGTGTTGTTAAAAGTTGGACACAGGTGTGATTTCTATTTTTAAATTTGGTATGTTCACTGTTTGATTTATTTAAAATGAGTCATTTATATTATCACTTTTTAACAGATGGATGAATTGCATATATCTATGATCCAGTGGATGGTAAGCTTGCTGATTTTAATGGTGCCTGACTGTACTGACCAAAACACTCTCCCAAATTTGAGGAAGGAAAGTGCTGAGAAACATGATCTAGGAGATGCAAAGTTAGAGCTAGATGCGATTGCACTGACCAGAAAGTTGGCGCAATATTCCAGCTATTTGAGCAGGTGAAACTATCTGGCTGTTTTATTACTATCCTTTTGAAGATTAAATGTGACATAAAGAGAGTAGATAAGGGCAAGGGGGAACAGCAATAAGGGACTGTTTGCAAACCTTGAAGGAAATGCTAGTTTTTCTAGCTTTTAAACTAGTTTCAACACTGCCCAGTTGAAATATATGATTTTAGTGTTTTCCCCAATGGCTTTAGAATTCTTTTGAACATAATGTTACCATAAGTAGGGTGGGAAGTACATGCCTGTTCGGGAGTGAGAATTAGTAAAAAGAAAACCAAATTAAACCATAAAGGCCCACTTGCTTGCATTAAGATATATCTTGCATGTTTGCTCATACTGGGGGGGGGCATTTATGAAGAAGCTTGTACTTCCTGTGTCATTCCGTGCAAAACTGAATGTACACTTATATTTCACTAAATATGTTTGGTTTCACTGAACACCAACTGAAACATCTCTTTTATTTTAAAAATTTATTTATTTATTATCTATTTGAGAGAGAGAGAGCAAATGTGAGCAGAGAGAAAGGGAGAGGGAAAACCAAGCTGAGCAGGGAGCCCGAAGTGGGGCTCCATCCCAGGACCCTGAGATCACGACCTGAAGGCAGACGCTTAACCGACAGAGCTACCCAGGTGCCCCCAAAACATCTCTTAAAAAAATTTCAGCCAAAAATCCCTTATATCTGAAAAGCTAGAAGATTCCTACCAAATACAGATGAGGTCTGAAAAATTGTAATTTATTTACTAGGAAGCATGTGTCACTAGGATTGCTTCTAATTCAGGAAGTAGCTTTTATGGTCTAGCCAATTTTCTCCCTCATTTCCATTCTGTGTTACCAGTGGGCAAGAGAGAGGAATGGAGGGGGGAGCAGGATGAGGGTGAGAAACTGAGAGATTATTCTCAACAGTTTAATTATTATGGTAACTGAACAGGGATTTAAAACACTTATAAGAGGAGCCAACAATAAATAGATCATGCTGTGTGTGTGCTTTTTGTCCCCCCAGTTGTTGCAAAGGGCTGGTAACAGCTATGGCTCTGAATAAGGCGGGTCACTTAGAAAAACATCCTGCTAAGGAACTTCGGGAGCTGGATGAGATGAAGGTAATAACACTATCTTGCCCTTACTTTTGTTCTGTTTGTTTTTAGCAGACGTCTTAGGTTGACTTGATTTACAACAAACTACGCAAACTACACATACAATCTGATAATTTCTAAATTATGGATACACCCACAAAATTATTATGATGATAAAAAAAAGGAAAATATCTAACACACTCAAAGTTTCCTTTTACCCCTTTGTCATTTCTCCTTCCAGCCTCATCCCCTCCCCAGGCAATGTCTGATCCACGTTCCAACACCAAAGATTATTTTTCATTTTCTAGAATTTATATAAATAGAATGTATACTTTTTTGGTCTGACGTCTTTGACGAGGCATAATTATTTTGAGATTCACACAGATTGTTGCTTTTATTAAAAGTTCATGCTTTTTAGTGCTGAGTTGTGTTTCATTATATGGGTATACACTATCCATTCTCTGTTGATGGGCATTTGAATTGTTGTGGTTTTGATTATTGCAAACAAAGCTTCAATGCATATTTATGTACATATGCATTGCTTTCATTTCTCTTGAGCAAATACCTAGGAATGGGATGTCTAAGTCACAGTGGTATGTGTGTGTTTAACTTTCTAAGAAACTGTTAAACCAGTTTCCACTCGTGCCAGCAGTTGTATGCCTGTTGGTGTTGCTTGCTTCCTCACCAGCACTTGATGTGGGCTCTCATCCACAGTGAATATTACTCTGCACATTCTGTTGTGTTCTGTTATGAAACTATCTGGATTACTGCAGTTTTAGAATTTTTGAAATCCAGTAGTGTATTCTCCAAATTTGTTTTTTTTTTTTTTTTTCAAAGATTTTTTTTATTTATTAGAGTGAGCGAGAGAGAGCAGGAGCTGGGGAAGGAGCAGAGGAAGAGGCAGAAGCAGGCTCCCCGCCGAGCAGGGAGCCCGATGTGATGCGGGGCTTGATCCCAGGACCCTGGGATCATGACCTGAGCCGAAGGCAGACACTTAATGACTGAGCCCACCCAGGCGCCCCTGTTGTTCTTTTTCAAGATTGAGCAGGCCATTCTAGGTACTTTGCTTTCCATATATGAAATTTTTAAAATTAGCTTATCAGTTTCTCTAAGGAACCCTGTTGGGATTTTGATTGTGTTTACATTTTATCTATTGATCAATTTGTGAAGAATTGACATCCTGACAATATTGAGTCAGGTATTGAATCAATATTGAGTCAATATTGAATCAGACCTATACACAATAAAACTTCAAAGTTTTACTGTGTATAGGTCTTACACAACAGTTTTTAGTGTATAGGTCTTACACATCTTTTTTTTTTTTTAAATCTTCGGTAAAGCAGGAAAGAATGTTTAATGGAAAAAAGACAGTCTTTTCAACAAATGGTGTTGGGAAAATTGGACAGCCACATGCAGAAGAATGAAACTGGACCATTTCCTTACACCACACACAAAAATAGACTCAAAATGGATGAAAGACCTAAATGTGAGACAGGAGTCCATCAAAATCCTAGAGGAGAACACAGGCAGCAACCTCTTCAACCTCAGCCGCAGAAACTTCTTCCTAGAAAGATCACCAAAGGCAAGGGAAGCAAGGGCAAAAATGAACTATTGGGACTTCATCAAGATAAAAAGCTTTTGCACAGCAAAGGAAACAATCAACAAAACCAAAAGACAACCGACAGAATGGGAGAAGATATTTGCAAATGATGAATCAGATAAAGGGCTAGGATCCAAAATCTATAAAGAACTTATCAAACTCAACACCCAAAGAACAAATAATCCAGTCAAGAAATGGGTGGAAGACATGAACAGACATTTCTGCAAAGAAGACATCCAAATGGCCAAGAGACACATGAAAAAGTGCTCAACGTCACTCAGCATCAGGGAAGTCCAAATCAAAACCTCAATAAGATACCACCTCACACCAGTCAGAATGGCTAAAATTAATAAGTCAGGAAACAACAGATGTTGGCGGGGATGCGGAGAAAGGGGAACCCTCCTACACTGTTGGTGGGAAGGCAAGCTGGTGCAGCCACTCTGGAAAACAGTATGGAGGTTCCTCAAAAAGTTGAAAATAGAGCTACCGTACGACCCAGCAATTGCACTACTGGGTATTTACCACAAAGATACAAATGTAGGGATCCGAAGGGGCACGTGCATCCCAATGTTTATAGCAGCAATGTCTACAATAGCCAAACTATGGAAAGAGCCTAGATGTCCATCAACAGATGAATGGATAAAGAAGATGTGGTATATATACAATGGAATATTATGCAGCCATCAAGAAAAAAGAAATCTTGCTATTTGCAATGACGTGACTAGAACTCGAGGGTATTACGCTAAGCGAAATAAGTCAATCAGAGGGAGACATGTATCATATGATCTCACTGATATGAGGAATTCTTAATCTCAGGAAATAAACTGAGGGTTCTGGAGTGGTGAGGGGGTGGGAGGGCTGGGGTGGCTGGGTGATAGACATTGGGGAGGGTATGTGCTATTGTGAGCACTGTGAATTGTGTAAGACTGATGAATCACAGACCTGTACCTCTGAAACAAATAATAGATTATATGTTAAAAAAAAGAAGAAGAAGAAGATAGTAGGAAGGGAAAAATGAAAGGGGGGGAATCAGAGGGGAAGACGAATCATGAGAGACTATGGACTCTGAGAAACAAACTGAGGGTTCTAGAGGGGAGGGGTTGGAGGAATGGGTTAGCCTGGTGATGGGTATTAAAGAGGGCACATATTGAATGGAACACTGGGTGTTATACGCCAATAATGAATCATGGAACACTACATCAAAACTAATGATGTAATGTATGGTGATTAACATAACATAATAAAAATTATTTTTTTATTTGAGAGAGAGAGCGCATGAGAGAGAGTGAGGGCACAAGCAGGCGGGAAGAGTAGAGGGAGAAACAGGCTCCCCACGGAGCAGGGAGCCCTACATGGGACTTGATCCCAGGACTCCAGGATCATGACCTGAGCTGAAGGCAGACGCTTAACCAACTGAGCCACCCAGGTGCTGCTACACATCTTTTTTCAGATTGATCCCTATGTAATTCATATTTTGGTACTATTATAAGTGTTTCATTTTTTTTTTTTTAGTAAGTGATTCATTTGTAATTTCATTTTCTGATTGTTCATTGCTAATGTATAGAATTATAATTGATTTTTAAAATATATTGATTTCATATCCTGTGACCTTGCTGAACTTACTTTTTTTAAGCATTTTTTTCCCATTTAGAATCTTTAGACTTTTCTCTATACACAGTCATGGCATCTGAAGATAGGAACAGTCTTCTCTCTTCCTTCCAATCTGTATGCCTTTTATTTATTTTTCCTGTCTTTTGCGCTACTTAGACTCTCCAGTACCAGATTGAATAAAAGTGGTGAAAGCTGATATCTTTGCCTTGTCTGTCTTAGGGGAAAAGTATTTATTCTGTCATCCTTAAGTATAACCATGGCTGTAGGTGTTTCACAGATGCCCTTTATAAGGTTGAGGAAGTTCCTTGATCTCAAAAACCAGCTTTTGGTCCCATTGATTTTTTTTCTGTTTTCTATTTCCTTAATTTCCAGTCTGGTCCTTATTATTTTCTTTTTTTCCTACTTCTTTAGGTTTAATTTGCTCTTTCTTTTCTAGTTTCATATGGTATAGCTGAGATCATGATTTCAGACCTGTTCATAGACAGTGGAATGGATAAATCTATTATAGTATATAAGGACTGGCATATAGGGTACAGGTAACGTTCTCTTCTCTGGCCTGTGTGATGTTTAGATGACTATTCTTATTAAATTCTACATATGTATTTTATGTCTTACATATGGGATAGGTCTCACTATTTTTAAAAATTAGGTTGTAAGCGGTGCCTGGGTGGCTTAGTCATTGAGCGTCTGCCTTTGGCTCGGGTTGTGATCCCAGGCTCTGGGGACCGAGCCCCATGTTGGGCTCCTTGCTCGGCGGGGAGCCTGCTTCTCCCTCTCCCACTCCCCCTGCTTGTGTTTCCTCTCTCTCTGTGTCTCTCTCTGTCAGAAAAATAAAATCTTTAAAACAAATTAGGTTGTAAAATAATTTATGTGCACCATCTTACTAATTTCAAAATCTCTAGGAGATGGAGACTTTTCTAGGAAAAAAATTAAATAACATTATCTTTAGAAGGGTAAAATTGGCCAATTTTCAGAGAGGAAATAGATTCATTGATTAAAAACAAAAAACAAAAAAACACTAAAAATTTTTCCTGGACTCCACAGACAAGTGTTTTCAGACTTTCAAGGAATAGGTAATCCCTATCCTATATAAACAATTTAAGAGCATAGGTAATGACCAGAAGTTTTCTCAGTTTATTTCATATAGTTGGCAAAGTTTTAAAAAAATTCCAATATAAGGGAAACAAACCTCATAAATATAGTTTCTTAGTCCAAATTTTAAAATACCAAATTTTCATTCAGTAGAAAATTAAAATAATACAACACTGCCTAATTAGGGTACATGTCAGGGGAGTAAGAATATTGTACTACTTGAATGTGGTTATAGATAGATTTCACTATTCATCTAGGAATTACATGTCTCAGTTTTAATTTTGGTTCTGGGAAGGCCTCTGTTTTTCACAACAGACTAATGTGCCTCTGAACTGAACAGACTCTTGGAGCTTATAGCCCTCACTGTGCATTTAGAAATGTGCTCGCATCTGCTCAGGCCTGTTGCAGCTAGCTTTTGCTGCTACCTATCACCAGATGTGGTGGAGCTCCTAGTTTGGAGAAGCTGGATCTGCCATAGATGGTGGTCAGGATTCACCGGCCTGTTCTGTAGTATGTCTTAGTTCTCATTTGCTTCAACAGGGGTAGAGCTCTGTGAGGGAAGACCATGTTTCCAGTTAAGGGCAATTTTAGAATGAGGATTTCAGGATGCTTTGAGGCATACCTACCCATTAAAATTAAGGCTATAGAATTATAGGGGGGATATTGCTGTGAAGGGCCCTTCCTGAGGGGACTTTGGGATACCTATTAAACCACCCATATCATG